ACCCCCCTTGGCATTTTTCCAATTTTGTTGCCTTACGACCTGGAATTTAAATGGATTTTCTGGGGATTTGTATAATTTGATTTACACAACATGCCTACCACTTTGAAGATGCAAAATATTTTTTGGGTTGAAACAAACAAGAAATAAGACAAAAAAACTGAACTTGAGTGTGCATAACTATTCACCCCCCCCAAAGTCAATACTTTGTAGAGCCACCTTTTGTAGCAATTACAGCTGCAAGTCTCTTGGGGTATGTCTCTATAAGCTTGGCACTTCTAGCTACTGGGATTTTTGCCCATTCTTCAAGGTAAAACTGCTCCAGCTCCTTCAAGTTGGATGGGTTCCGCTGGTGTACAACAATCTTTAAGTCATACCACAGATTCTCAATTGGATTGAGGTCTGGGCTTTGACTAGGCCATTCCAAGACATTTCAATGTTTCCCCTTAAACGACTCGAGTGTTGCTTTAGCGGTATGCTTATGGTCATTGTCCTGCTGGACGGTGAACCTCCGTCCCAGTCTCAAATCTTTGGAAGATTGAGCAGTTTCCCAGTCCCTGCCGATGAAAAACATCCCCACAGCATGATGCTGCCACCACCATGCTTCACTGTGGGGGATGGTGTTCTCGGGGTGATGAGAGGTGTTGGGTTTGCGCCAGACATAGCGTTTTCCTTGTTGGCCAAAAAGCTAAATTTTAGTCTCATCTGACCAGAGTACCTTCTTCCATATGTTTGGGGAGTCTCCCACATGCCTTTTGGCGAACACCAAACGTGTTTGCTTATTTTTTTCTTTAATCAATGGCTTTTTTCTGGCCACTCTTCCGTAAAGCCCAGCTCTGTGGAGTGTACGTCTTAAAGTGGTCCAATGGACAGAAACTTCTATCTCCACTGTGGAGCTTTGCAGCTCTTTCAGGCTTATCTTTGGTCTCTTTGTTGCCTCTCTGATTAACGCCCTCCTTGCCTGGTCCGTGAGTTTTGGTGGGCGGCCCTCTCTTGGCGGGTTTTTATGTGGTGCCATATTCTTTCAATTTTTTAAAATTGATTTAATGGTGCTCCATGGGATGTTCAAAGTTTCTGATATTTTTTTATAACCCAACCCTGGTCTGTACTTCTCCACAACTATTTATTTTTTAGAATTATTTGAAACAAGTAATTTTTTTCATTTCACTTCACCAATTTTGACTATTTTGTGTATGTCCATTACATTAAATCCAAATAAAAAAACATTTAAATTACAGGTTGTATTGCAACAAAATAGGAAAAACGCCAAGGGGGATGAATACTTTTACAAGGTGCTGTACTTATGTAAATAAGGTATTTCTAAATTTTATTTTTAATATATTTGCAAACATTTCTAAAATCCTGTGTGTAGATTGATGTGGCAAAAAAATTATTTAATCAATTTTAGAATAAGACTGTAATGTAACAAAAAGTGGAAAAAGGGAAGGGGTCTGAATACTTTCCGAATGCACTATATAATACTTAATATAGAGGCCTTTATCTCATAGTCAGCTGACTATACAGCTCCCTGCTCAACAACACTCGTGACTTATCAAGAAGAGGATATTCAGCCATCATGATTTCCATTGACGCCCCAGGGCGATTAAAACTGCATGAGCCGAGCATGGGTTTGATTAGATCAAGACGATATATTTTAAGACACCTTAAGAAAGGACTGACAATTGCTGGGGGGCTAATGTATTGCCTATTTTGAATAATGAATTATTTTAATGAAGGGGCCTTTAACTGTGTGGGACAGGGAGGGGATGGGGGGGGGGGGGTGTCTGAATGGTCTTTTCTCCTCTGGCGGGAGGGAGGCATTGGTTGGTTGCTGCTGCCTCGTTATCGGGACCAGCCCCTCAAGCCTCAGCCTGACCTGCTTAAGCCTCAGATGACCGGCACCATAATTACCGTTATTAAGAGTAGATGTAGGGGAAAGTTTATCTGAAAAAACCCCACCAAGCTGAGTGCCTTGTGTGGACCTTGTCTTGCCCTGCTCTCCTTGCCCTGCGCTGCCGTGCCTTGCCTCGTCTGGCCTCTCTCACTGCCTCTGACTGCATGAGGAACCATCGGTCGGTCGATCAGTCACCAGTGCAGAGGAGAGGGGGAGGGGGAGAGGGAGGGAGCGGCCACCAAATCCGCCTAATGTGACGCCTGTCAGCTCGTCTCCCACCAGCTGTCACCTCCCAAATGCACTGGGGTTCATTTTTTTAATTGACACCTCCTCGCTTTCATATTCCATTTCTATTTTTCACCTTTCCTCTCTCCCTCCATCCATCCAGCCCTCTCTACTTATTTTCCCAATCTTCCTTCTTCCTCCTCTCTCTCTCTTTCTTGTTCCCTTATTTTTTTATTGTCATTGTCGTCTGCCCGGCCTCTGTCAGCTATAACACTCTGGGTTCTGCCCACTTCCAAACATGACTCTGGAGATGGCTGATAAAGAATAGAGCAAGTGTTTTAGAGGTTCTTTATGGCTTTGCCCTTGTCAACTGGAGTTGTTCTAGTCCCCATTATCTGGTGATGGAGTGGACATTTTGGGCCAAGGAGGCTTTCACGTGACCACATTGGGGAGTAAACCTTTCTAAGGACAAAACTGCTTTAAAAAAAGGAACATAACATGCTTGTTGACTGACTTTAATAGACACAGTGCTACCCATGTCGGTAGATACCAATACATTTAGTAACTATTGCGCTGCTTAGCATCAGTAGCCTATGCTTCTATCAGATGAACCACACTGAAATGAATATAATTTCTTGTTTCTATGCTGACAGATTCCTCATACCATGATGCCAACACATGCAGTGTATGAGTTTAATGCCCTGAACAATGAATCCATATTAATGGGCATATACAGTGAAATAGCGGTGAAATTTCCCTTTAAGGACTAGGGATATTGTTGATCATTTGTTTTAGTTGTTTGTGATACTTGTCATGTCCATTGTAAATCATTATACTGCTTCTTCAGGATTTCAGGTTGTTGTTTTTTCTGTCCCAGAATGTCATGTGGCAGGGATGAATGGTAGTGATGTTCCATTATCATATTGCTGTCGCTACCACTCCCACTGACTGTGGCCCAAACACACAGACACACACACACAGAGGGTTGTGACAGGCCCACACAGACAGGCACCTCACTCCTGTGTCAGGAACACAGCTGATTTATGAATTGCTGAAACCCTGGATGACGTGTGCCCACAGAATCAATACAGACCCTGCTTATAGGCCTGGCACTGCGACGTGGTCCAGAGCGAGGCAGAGGAAGTACATACATACGCACGCACGCGCGCACACACACACACACACACACACAGACATATACACACACGTACACACAGAACTGCAGAGGAGTGTATTGCGTTACTGTATCGATGTGAAATGGAACCGGTCCAGCGTTGGCTGCATGCTGCCAGTCAGAGGTGAGGAGGATAAACTTTCATCATGGCTGTCAGGGACATCACTGCTGCCTTGTTTGGCTGTACATCTTCCTAATTGTGACAGAATACTTCAACGTCATTAATTAAACATGCTTTCATTTAAAAGCGCTCACTGGGAGCCAGGGCTGGGGGCTGAGAGAGAGGTAGTTTGCCAATATGCAGAGAGGGATGTTTTACATTTTCTGTGTGTTTGTGTGGGTGGCTGTGTGGTAGGTTTGTGTTTTTGTACAGACTTGTGCTTTGCAAATATCTTACACCCCAATAAGACAGAAAAGTTTGGACTATGAGCTGTCATTTGAACGAAAGCAAAGCAATAGTCTTAATTCAGAACGTGAGAGGATTTCAGTTATTTAATAGATGGATGGTTATTTGGCAATTTTATTGGTCATATTCTTGCTCTGTGGGGGATCTCTTCATCCCTCAGAGAGAGAGAGAGAGAGAGAGAGAGAGAGAGAGAGAGAGAGAGAGAGAGAGAGAGAGAGAGAGAGAGAGAGAGAGAGAGAGAGAGAGAGAGAGAGAGAGAGAGAGAGAGAAAGAGAGAGAGAGAGAGAGAGAGAGAGAGAGAGAGAGAGAGAGAGAATTAAACATGAGTACAGAGGGAGGGAGGGATTGTGAGTCCTCTCACTGTTCAATTAAAGCCTGTCTGTAATGGTCAAGATGAAATGATGGCAGTCTTTTTATAGAAACACACTGTTAGTCTGAGATAAGAACCACCACAAACCAACCATGTTCATCCATGCACAGATGGTCAATACCAAGGTTTTCATTTTATGTTGTGAAAGAGAAGAGCCATTTATTTGTGGAGTAGCGTTATGAATCTGCCTCCTATTGCCAGATAATTATGATAATGTAAAGTTTTAAAGTTCACTGATGCTGGACTGGCATTAAGGCCTTTAATCGATTTCATTGTCGTTACTGAACAGGAATAAATAAAACTGATGGCTATGGTTTGAGTAATTATGTCACAGCACAGTGAATTGTATGATTATCTTTATTAATTGTATTTATTTAATCCATTCCATGCTTTTAGTCTTGCACTGGAAGATACGGGGAATTAAAAAAATCACTGTTTGCCTCATTAGGTTTCCTCTCCAGTTGGAAGTAGCCTACATGTTGTTGTCAGAAGAACCCCATAGGATTCTAGTCCAGTTTTCCTACTGGTGTGAGTCTGCGAGGAATAGCAAGGCAATATAGTATCTGTTGTTCTCTATCTCTCGCCTCAGTCTTTTAAATTCAGAGGTTAGAGATAGTGAGTGTGACTGGAGAGACAGTGTCTGAGAGTTGGACTGTTGTGTTTTGGTCTGCTGGGAAGGTTCTACAGCTGAGGAATGAAAAATGAGTTAGGAGATGACTGACTGAGATAGAAATGCTGTAGCTTTAGGGCTTTTTAAGTTTCAAGGAATGCAGGCAGGATAAATATTGACAGAATATTGACAGAAGTCAACACCTGCAATACACACACACACAAACACACATGCACACGCACACACTTCTCTCCTTTCTGAACCCCTGACCTTTCCAGTCATCTGATAGCCATTGAGATTTGCCTCCTGAGTCTGCATGCTCAGATGGTGGAGCTGATCGGGGGGAGGGAGGAGGGAGGAAGGGGGAGGAGGAGGGGAGAGGGTTCATGTGAGAGACTGCTTCTCCGTGAGGGCCTAGGAATCCATCTTGACATCTCTCTTGCTGGAGAGGTCAGCAGGCAGGCAGTTCATCCTCGTGGACAAAGCCATAGACCAGAGCATAGCAACACACTGTAACCTGGGCCAGACAGACAGTCTACTCCAGCACATCTCTCTCAGCAAGCCACTGTCATTTACCATGATTCTGTCAAATTGTCACTCTTAGCAATTGTAAATACTGTATGTTTAAAGGGAATTATTTAGCCCTTATAGTTGGTAAGTATACATATGAATTTATGCAGACGTGTACTATGTCCTGATAGTGTAGTGTATGCTGCCTGTCTTTGTTAGTAAAGATGGTGGATGAAATGAACAGGCTACACCTGGTTGTTTTCACCACCTCTGTGAGGAGACAAACAGCTCTGCTCCTTTACTTAGGGAGCCTTCTAGTGGCAGACAGAGGGAGAGCAAGGTGGTCCACAACACACAGCCCTGTTGGTCCACTACCATAGTGAAACAACCCTGTTGGTCCAGTACCATAGTGAAACAACCCTGTTGGTCCAGTACCATAGTGAAACACAGCCCTGTTGGTCCAGTACCATAGTGAAACAACCCTGTTGGTCCAGTACCATAGTGAAACAACCCTGTTGGTCCAGTACCATAGTGAAACACAGCCCTGTTGGTCCAGTACCATAGTGAAACAACCCTGTTGGTCCAGTACCATAGTGAAACATAGCCCTGTTGGTCCAGTACCATAGTGAAACACAGCCCTGTTGGTCCAGTACCATAGTGAAACATAGCCCTGTTGGTCCAGTACCATAGTGAAACAGCCCTGTTGGTCCAGTACCATAGTGAAACATAGCCCTGTTGGTCCAGTACCATAGTGAAACACAGCCCTGTTGGTCCCAGTACCATAGTGAAACACAGCCCTGTTGGTCCAGTACCATAGTGAAACACAGCCCTGTTGGTCCAGTACCATAGTGAAACACAGCCCTGTTGGTCCAGTACCATAGTGAAACACAGCCCTGTTGGTCCAGTACCATAGTGAAACAATCCTGTTGGTCCAGTACCATAGTGAAACACAGCCCTGTTGGTCCAGTACCATAGTGAAACATAGCCCTGTTGGTCCAGTACCATAGTGAAACAACCCTGTTGGTCCAGTACCATAGTGAAACAACCCTGTTGGTCCAGTACCATAGTGAAACATAGCCCTGTTGGTCCAGTACCATAGTGAAACACAGCCCTGTTGGTCCAGTACCATAGTGAAACACAGCCCTGTTGGTCCAGTACCATAGTGAAACACAGCCCTGTTGGTCCAGTACCATAGTGAAACATAGCCCTGTTGGTCCAGTACCATAGTGAAACAACCCTGTTGGTCCAGTACCATAGTGAAACATAGCCCTGTTGGTCCAGTACCATAGTGAAACAACCCTGTTGGTCCAGTACCATAGTGAAACACAACCCTGTTGGTCAAGTACCATAGTGAAACATAGCCCTGTTGGTCCAGTACCATAGTGAAACATAGCCCTGTTGGTCCAGTACCATAGTGAAACACAGCCCTGTTGGTCCAGTACCATAGTGAAACAACCCTGTTGGTCCAGTACCATAGTGAAACACAGCCCTGTTGGTCCAGTACCATAGTGAAACACAGCCCTGTTGGTCCAGTACCATAGTGAAACAACCCTGTTGGTCCAGTACCATAGTGAAACACAGCCCTGTTGGTCCAGTACCATAGTGAAACATAGCCCTGTTGGTCCAGTACCATAGTGAAACACAGTCACATAAAGTGAACAATCACAAGTGAACATTGTTGCGTGCGTGGGAGTGGGTAGATAAGTGTGTATCTGTGTGCATGGGGGGGTATGTGCCATGAAACCTCCTTTTGCACTCTGTGGTACTGGCTGGAGGGGGGGAGGAGCAGAGAGCTAAGTGCCTGTGGGGGTGTGAGGGGTGAGGTGCAGGTTCAAACTAGGGCCACTACACCCACCACTGTGACTGGACACCCCAAACTGTGTGAACACGGCCAGCAGTGGGCCAGTAGCCTGAAGGGCCAGTAGCCTAAATAGGTCTGACAACTACCTTGTTAGCACCCTTTCTTCAGCCATAGGGAGTCCATGAATTATGCTGCTTGTTTTCTAGCTATTACTCCAAATCTAGCTTAGTATTTATTTATTAAAGCTGCAATATGTAACTTTTTGGGCAACTTGACCAAATTCACATAGAAATGTGTGTTATAGATCTGTCATTCTAATTGAAAGCAAGTCTAAGAAGCTGTTCTATGTGCCCTATTTCTATGCTTCCTGTTCTTAAGTTTATTTTTTGCGTCTTTTACTTTTGCTTTTGTGCACCAGCTTCAAACAGTTGAAAATACAATATTTTGGTTTATGGAAAATATATTTTACAGCGGTTTAGATGGTACAATGATTCTCTACACTATAATTTCTTGTTTTGTCACATAAACTATTTTAGAATTTTAGCCACCAGGAAATGGCGGAGCGATTTGCATCTTTAAGTTGAAAAACAATGATCATGGTGTGACTGTGACGCATAAATAAGACTAAGACAGCATCTTTGCTTTTCCTCTTAGTCTGGTGTTGATAAATTGTTTTTGTCCCTTATCACTGAGATTATCCATATTGATATTAGACGTGTCATTTATTACACCATTTTAACCCGTTAGGTTGTGATGATATTATTAGTTTACCTGTCCGGGAAGATTCTTATCTTTTTATGACACAATGTTATTGTTTTAGCCACTGAGTAAATATCTTCATCTGCTTCCCTGGAGTGCATAGGAAAAATGAACTCTTATGGAAGTCTGTGTTAATTAAATACATGAAATGATATTCAAAATCGAAGAGATTATAGTTTTATCATCTTGGGTGCTGCCAGCCTCACTAACATCCATGTTTTTATGGCACAGTTGTGGGCTTTTAAAGAGATGGTCATATTTCACACAGAACAGGTTGAAGACTGTGGAAAGAACAAAGTACAGTAGTAGACTGCGGTCTCACTGTTGGTGACTGGTACACTCACTCCACTTCTCACCCAAATAGTGGTTTTTATTACAACATTGTTCATTCATATTAACTGGGCCTCTTTTCTTTGCGGTGGTGATCATCAGACTTTGCATTGCATCAGTGTTGTGTTAGTTTTTTACTCACCAGAGAAGTTTGTTACTAACTATTGTCTCTACAGTGCTCAGTATCCGTGGCGCCCAGGAGGAGGATGCTCCAGATGCCCAGCTCATGCGATTGGACAACATGCTGCTGGCGGAGGGCGTGTCCGGACCAGAGAAAGGGGGCGGGTCTGCGGCAGCGGCAGCAGCGGCGGCAGCAGCGGGAGGAGGGGTGGGCCAGGACAACTCAACAGAACACTCAGACTATAGGGCCAAGCTTACTCAGATCCGTGGGATCTACCACACAGAGCTGGAGAAGTATGAACAGGTGAGGACAGACCACACCCCTCGTAACCGCTCTCTCCCTTCCCATAAGCCCTCTCTGCTCTAAGAAGATCCTCACAACCCCTCTCACTTCCTGTAGGCAACCCCTCTCTCCCTAAGCGTCCCTCTACTCTGATTTCTGCCATCTCACTATATATTGAGGACCAAGCCCCTTGTAACTGTCCTCTCTCCCTTCCAATAGACAACCCCACTGCAATCTCACTACACTCAGACTGCACACAAGTCAGTGCACACAACCACGCTTTCAGAAATCCATTTCCAGCTGGCAATCAGTTTATCAGTCACACAAGTCCTAGCTCCAAGAGAGCATCCCGTCCTTCCCATCGATGTCAAATATATTACCGCCTGTCATCATCTCAAAGCAGGCCCATCATCACTTCCTGTCACAGTGTTACATTTGTACCTGAGAATATCCATGTCACCGCTATGTGTACTGCTGCTACTGAGTGTACGGGTGGAACGGCTGTTGCAACGAACTGAGTCTCGTTTCAACTGACTCCCCTGACCCCAAACGCAGCAGACACTTCCCAGTGACTGATTCTGACAGAGAGAGAGACCGAGAGAGACACTGAGTGAAAAGACAGAGAGAGAAGTGGAGCGAGAGAGACAGGAAGACAGTTCAAACCTGCTAAACGTGAACAGGAATGAAAGCCTCCTGTCATTTTAGACGTCTTTACTTGTTACTTTTTTCTTCACGATTGAAGAAAGGTCTCCTCAATATACAAAGAAAGTCTCACTGCTTGTCTACCTCATCCACTGCTATTGTTTCTGCCACAGCACTGCAATACATTACTACTACATTACTATACATTGATTACTACTACTACTTATGATACTTATAATACTAACAATGCTCACAGTGTCTTACTTCTCTGCTGTATCCAAGTGCGTGTGATTGCTATCTGCCTCATATGAGTGTGTCTGTCTGTCTCTTTAGGCATGTAATGAGTTTACCACCCATGTGATGAACCTGCTGAGGGAGCAGAGTCGCACACGGCCCATCTCACCCAAAGAGATCGAGCGTATGGTGGGCATTATCCACCGCAAGTTCAGCTCCATCCAGATGCAGCTCAAACAGAGCACCTGCGAGGCCGTCATGATCCTACGCTCCCGCTTCCTCGACGCCAGGTCTGTGTGGTACAGTGTGTGTGACATGTGTCTGTGTGTCTCTCTCTGCGTGTGTCTGCTGATGAAAAGTGTATCCTGGGTCACTCTACACCGAAGACAACATATTTTTGTAGAGTGTGATGACAAACAGAGATAATGTAGTCCAGATATCTCTCTCTAATGTATTGTAATGAAATAAATGACCTGTAATTGTTATATTCAATGTTTCTCTCTCTCTGGCTCTCTCTCTGCAGACGAAAGAGAAGGAACTTCAACAAGCAGGCAACAGAGATCCTAAATGAGTATTTCTACTCCCACCTGTCCAACCCCTATCCCAGTGAGGAGGCCAAGGAAGAGCTGGGCAAGAAGTGCTCCATCACAGTGTCACAGGTACAGTATTCCGCCACATAGTCTTTCTTGACCCACATAAACCTATGAGCTATCTAGCTAGCATGGTAATTTGTTTCGACAACTGCAAGCACACTGCTATGTTACAGGAAGTCAGCTAGCAGAGGCTGCATCCCAAATGGCACCCTATTCCCTACATAATGCACTACTTTTGACCAGAGCGCTGTCAATCTCAATGGGAATCTGGTTTCTTGACAATCTGGTTTCTTAAAATATATGTTTTCTATATAATACCTTGCTCAAACAATTGTTGTAATAAACTTTAGTTTAATTTCTTGTCATGTAAAACATAATTAATAATATGTACTTTCTGTTACAGGTATCGAACTGGTTCGGAAACAAGAGAATCCGATACAAGAAAAACATTGGCAAGTTCCAAGAGGAAGCCAACATGTATGCCGCGAAGACAGCCGTCAGTGCAACCAATGTATCAGCCCATGGCAGCCAGGCCAACTCCCCCTCCACCCCCACCTCTGCAGGTCAGTATCAATACCAGCCAGCCATAATGGATCTGACCAGTATAGGACCAAGTTAGTACTGTTAATGTTGGTTTGACTGCATAGTATACCCAACTGAACAATGCTAGATCAAATAGTGCTAAAGCATTATATAGGCTACATTGAAAGGTATCCACACTACAGTAGTATGGACAATTCAGTTCAGAAATATGACACAGTTGAGCAGAGAGGTATAGAGCACTGATTAGAAAACCTGGCTTTATGCAACCCTGGCACCCAACTCAAGAATCCAGTCTCTGGCTCTGTTCCTTTTGAATAACAAAATACTGTCTGCACCCTCCTTTCCTAAACTAACCCAATAACCTCTGGCCCTTTCCCTCTCTCTCACTCTCTCTCTGGGGTTTGTCGGGTAAACACAGTAGACATATTGAACTCTTGACCCTATGGGCCCTGCTCTATATAGGAAATAGGGTGCCATTTTGGACTCTTGGTTAGACAAATATCTATCCTGTAACTTCTCCGGTTGACCTCTTGTGTGTCATTAAGCTGATGACAGGCGTCCCAGCCTTTGTCATCATGTTGACTCTTCAGCTGTGTTGGGTTATGGTCTAGTCTTGTGTTTTTTCTGCCTTGAAATCAAGTTAGGCTGCGTTCTCCTTTAACATCTGGGGAGTTTGGCTCCATTAAAGGACAAAGAGGATTCTTTCAGTTCTTCCTGTCGAACGATTAGCACTTCCTTAATGATCCAACCGGTCCGGTAGCAAGGAACTTAAATGGCAAGACAATCCATCTATTCTGCATTAGTTTCACCCCGGTTTTAACCCCTAACCTCAATATTCTTGATAATATGATTATCATCATAACTACCACAGAAGGAGTAGTTTGTGTAGTTTTATTAGTACAGGATAGTTTGCTTAGAACACCCCTTGCCAATACATTTCCATAGGTACATATACAGTGAGGGAAAAAAGTATTTGATCCCCTGCTGATTTTGTACATTTGCCCACTGACAAAGAAATGATCAGTCTATAATTTTAATGGTAGGTTTATTTGAACAGTGAGAGACAGAATAACAACACAACAATCCAGAAAAACACATGTCAAAATTTTTATAAATTGATTTGCATTTTTATGAGAGAAATAAGTATTTGACCCCCTCTCATTCAGAAAGATTTCTGGCTCCCAGGTGTCTTTTATACAGGTAACGAGCTGAGATTAGGAGCACACTCTTAAAGGGAGTGCTCCTAATCTCAGTTTGTTACCTGTATAAAAGACACCTGTCCACAGAAGCAATCAATCAATCAGATTCCAAACTCTCCACCATGGCCAAGACCAAAGAGCTCTCCTAGGATGTCAGGGACAAGATTATAGACCTACACAAGGCTGGAATGGGCTACAAGACCATCACCAAGCAGCTTGGTGAGAAGGTGACAACAGTTGGTGCGATTATTCGCAAATGGAAGAAACACAAAAGAACTGTCAATCTCCCTCGGCCTGGGGCTCCATGCAAGATCTCACCTCGTGGAGTTGCAATGATCATGAGAACGGTGAGGAATCAGCCCAGAACTACACGGGAGGATCTTGTCAATGATCTCAAGGCAGCTGGGACCATAGTCACCAAGAAAACAATTGGTAACACACTACGCCGCGAAGGACTGAAATCCTGCAGCGCCCGCAAGGTCCCCCTGCTCAAGAAAGCACATATACAGGGCCATCTGAAGTTTGCCAATGAACATCTGAATGATTCAGAGGAGAACTGGGTAAAAGTGTTGTGGTCAGATGAGACCAAAATTGAGCTCTTTGGCATCAACTCAACTCGCCGTGTTTGGAGGAGGAGGAATGCTGCCTATGACCCCAAGAACACCATCCCCACCGTCAAACATGGAGGTGGAAACATTATGCTTTGGGGGTGTTTTTCTGCTAAGGGGACAGGACAACTACACTGAATCAAAGGGACGATGGACGGGGCCATGTACCATCAAATCTTGGGTGAGAACCTCCTTCCCTCAGCCAGGGCATTGAAAATGGGTTGTGGATGGGTATTCCAGCATGACAATGACCCAAAACACACGGCCAAGGCAACAAAGGAGTGGCTCAAGAAGAAGCACATGAAGGTCCTGGAGTGGCCTAGCCAGTCTCCAGACCTTAATCCCATAGAAAATCTGTGGAGGGAGCTGAAGGTTCGAGTTGCCAAATGTCAGCCACGAAACCTTAATGACTTGGAGAAGATCTGCAAAGAGGAGTGGGACAAAATCCCTCCTGAGATGTATGCAAACCTGGTGGCCAACTACAAGAAACGTCTGACCTCTGTGATTGCCAACAAGGGTTTTGCCACCAAGTACTAAGTCATGTTTTGTAGAGGGGTCAAATACTTATTTCCCTCATTAAAATGCAAATCAATTTATAACATTTTTGACATGCGTTTTTCTGGATTTTTGTGTTGTTATTCTGTCTCTCACTGTTCAAATAAACCTACCATTAAAATTATAGACTGATCATGTCTTTGTCAGTGGGCAAATGTACAAAATCAGCAGGGGATCAAATACTTTTTTCCCTCACTGTAGTCAGTGTAGATGGTGACTGGTCACTGATATGGTTCCCTGTTCACTACACCACATTTGGCTTTCAACCCTCCACCACTAACCCACCTGACTGCACTTTTTCTGTTGCATGATCAAGTTAACTCCTCTTTCCTCTCCTCTCTTCTCTTTCTACCGTCCTTCCCCCCCTTCTCTCTCGTTCTCTCTTTCACTCTCTGTCCTTCCAGGTTCTGCTGGCTCTTTTAACATGTCAAACTCCGGAGACTTGTTCATGAGTGTGCAGGCTCTGAATGGGGACTCATACCAGGGGGCTGGGGTGGGGGCCAACGTTCAGTCCCAGGTAGGATCCTCGCAGAGAATAGTACGTAAACCATGAATTATTGGTACACTAGTTGTCATGTAGATAGAAACCCAGCTAGCAGTCATACAGTGGCCTATTAATGGCCTGTTGAAGGCAAAGTCAACCAACCAAGGCGGACAGCCATATAAGGTCTTATATTATTAGACTGAATTTCCCTGCTTGAATTTCCCTGCCCAGTTGTTCAGGCACTGCCCGGCCTATAAAGTTCCATTGAAATCATCAAAAGCCCAGAGCAGAGTCACTTGACCTAGTCCGTGAGACAGAGGTTATATGTGGCCTTTAGCCATAGCACTAATATGGTGGCCATTGTCAGGCTCATGAATGAATAGACGACTGCAGACAGTTTTGGAAACAATACAAGACTCGTCAACACTCCTGACAACGGTTGTCGTAGCCACTGGTGCACAACAGTTCTCTGACCTTGCCCTGTTGGACAACTATGAACAACACAGAGTTTCTGAGTGTTGGGATTGGGAGGGAGTCTCATTCACCATAGGTTGGGTGGGAGAGTCACCACCAGTGGTGATATTCTCATTTGATTCACCCCCCTCTAGCCCCCCAGCCCTATCCCTCCATCCATCCCTACTTTCTTTTTAAATCAACTCTCCAAATGCTCGGGTGTTTCATAAATATGCATAGGATTAACCCCCTAAGGTGGATAAGAGGTCTCCTGGGTTGATACTTCAATGAAAAACAATGTCCTTGTCAAAAGGTCATTTGGCTGCGCACTTCAAAATGCCTTCCCAGCCACTGAGGAGAGGAGATTAGTTTTGAGTCGTAGAAGCAATTGGAAATAGTCAATGCTGCATGATTTGTTGCAGTTTTGTTCCTTTTTGAATTGTAATCAGATATTCATATGAGTTCCCTCGTGATGGTGTTTGTGGTCATTGGTCTTTGTTCATTTGTGATATCTGTTGTGTTAAACCTGATCATTCTAAACTGCCGCTGTAACCTTTCCCAGTGCATGATACCCTTTTGCTATCAGACTGACCTTTTCTTATGTATGAAGGTCTTTGTCATGTAGAGCTTTTGTCTGTCTGACCCACCCTTTTCTCTGTGTGTGTGTGTCCGTTCCAGGTGGATACTCTTCGCCATGTTATCAGCCAGACAGGAGGATACAGTGACAGCCTCGCCGCCAGCCAGATGTACAGTCCACAGGGCATCAACGTAAGAACACCACCACCAAAAAAGAACAACAACCTTCTGTCATTTCATCACAATATTGCCTTTCTATTCTTACTTTGGTCTTTTTGAAAGGAAAAGAAGCTAACTATTTCTATAGTATACTTCTATAGCTATTCTTCTTTTGTTCCGATGCAATGCGTTCATACATTTAACCAACAATTCGATAGAAAGTTGTCTTTATTAGGGTTTCAGTTTGTCCCTTTGCCCAATTATTTCAAAGCCAACGGGTGTGGGATACCACTTAGTTAGCAGTGGCCTGTTGGTGGCTGGGCTGTTGTCCAGGCAACGGCCCCTGTGCCGGTCATGCCCCGGGCGCCAGGCAACGAGGCAGGAGTCAGACGGAGCGAGAAGCCGGTCAGCTGGACGTACGGACACGCTTAGAGCCTGTCTGTCTGGTGACATTAGTGTTAGCGAGGCACCTGCAGCCGACAGGAGCAAGGCCACAGGTGTCACCCTGCCTGTCCAACACTCAGCTCACATGGCACCAAATGAAAAGAAGCACAGACCTCATTTGGGGCCAAATAAATAAATACAATCACCCCGGAGTACAAGCTCTAGTCCAATTTATCTACCACCCTAAAATAACTCGGCCAGCCAATGTTAAAGAACAGCACGCTCTGGTAGGGGGTTTTGTCAGGGCTGGGCAGGGCTGGGAACACTGGAGGGGGTGTGTATAGTGTTAAGATCTACAGTGACAGGCTGTGTTGTAGAGAGGGGAATCAATAAGACAGTCACAGCAGGCTGAGAGGGGGTCTGGTCCAGCAGTCCGAGCGCATTGGTTGCATCATTCGTCCAACAACCACAATGACACTGACAGCAGCGAGCCCTGTAATTTCCTAGACAAGATGCTAAAAAAGGAAGTGGTGGTGGAATGAATATGTTCTCCATTCAACCCCTCCTAAGCTTCCTCAGTAAACTATGCTGGAACTAAGCTAAATGAAGGCTGATGAAAATGGGCAATGATAAGATCACGGTCTGTTGCGGTATGTTAGTCAATGCATAGAAGGTAGTTTCTGTGAGGCAGCCTTTGGCTAACCAGTACGGGCATTCACATTTGCAGCACATCAGTCTTCAACACACAACTGTCTGTGCAGATATTGTGACCCTCCGCCCCGATACCTCAAAATCTGAGCCGAATCAGAATGCAATAATTTTTTCAAGTATTCAAACATCAACTTGCAGTGAATAAATAGGCCTAATAAATAGGCCTATGCCAAATCCAAACACAGAAAAGATTATGTCATTCTAAGACACTTCTTTTAAATTGTAGAAATCATGTTATTATTTAGACGTTTCGATTTTTCTATAGAAGCTTTCAATCCTGGATGGAGCTTTTTATTGTGCAGCGAAACAATTTCCACTCATTCTGAGGTTTCTAATGACTGAGCTGAGGCAGGAAGCAGCATTCACATGGCAGAGCTCTCCTCTTCTATCATTGAACAGTAATTACGGCTGTGAAGTAGGCGGAGGGTGTCACCAAAGCTGAAGATTTGAAACGTTTTCTTTTCTCTCCCCTCGGTTCCAATGTGATGAAAAAATGGCTCTATGTGAAATAACAGGTTTTGAAAATAAGAGGGTGCCAAAGCCCATCTCCAACAGCTTTCACCGATGGCATGGAAATTGCCATTAATGTCCCAAATGCTCTTTAGCCTACCTATCTTCGGGGAATTGAAATTGCCTCCTATTTTACAAAACCATTATATTTTCAACCCAGTAGCCGATGTGATAATTTACTATAATTGATTCTCCCATCAACCATCTTGGAGGTTGTGTGCAAGAGCTGTCTAAATGTTTTCAATAACATGTCTCTTTATTGTCTGTACATGAGGCCATTTTGAGACAGATGGGAGGTGGAGTCTTATATTGTTGTGCCTTGATAGAGTAATTGTACTATAATGTATTTGGAAGATGCATAATCCCGCAGAGTGCAAAAGGGTGTTTGTCAGTTCAAGAGTTTCATGTTAGCTACAGATGCAGATAAAATAATATACAGTATGTGTAATTATTTCTGTATCTATCAGGAAATTTGACCTGAGGCATACAACAAATTATATCACAATTCTATCTCTAGAAATGTGATGTTTTTTTTAATCCACAGACAAACGGTGGGTGGCAGGATGCGCCGACCCCCTCATCAGTGACCTCACCCATAGAAGGACCCGGAAGTGTTCACTCGGATACCTCCAACTGATTATTTTACCCTCCACACACAACATCACCCCAACCCAACGATGAACTGGCAGAGCCAATCACAGTATTAAACATAGAGGCATACTACACAGTGTCCTGTAGATTTCAGGGGTGCTGTGAAAACCATAACTAAAGCAACCTTTCGTCAGCTACAGTACTACGGGACATTTGAGATACATACATACATACATACATACATACATACATACATACATACATACATACATACATACATACATACATACATACATACATACATACAGTAAAAAGAATTTCAGAACAAAAATCAAAATGATACAAAATTTATTAATACAAATGTTTGTACAGATTTCACAGGATATTCAGAGGGCTGGGGTTGCTTAGTCACCTGTGATGGGTTTACTCATATTGATAATATTCAGTGATAAGATAAATTCAGACAACCAAACCTGCATACTTAAATTCAAATGCTTAATTCTACCTCTCAGCGACTAAAAAGTAAACAAATATGAAAGAACATTATTTGTTTTCTAAAACATGAACTTTGTCATTGTAAGAAAGAAGCACTTTGTCATGCTTTGTTTTGCGGTCCCTCCCCACTGGGCACACAATGGTTGAATCAACGTTGTTTCCACGTCATTTCAATGAAATTACGTTGAGCCATCGTGGAATAGATGTTGAATTGACGTCGGTGCCCAGTGGGTTGCCTATTCTATGGTACGCCATTGAGGTTTTTAATGTTGCTCCCCTGTTTACAGTGTGTGCTTGATAAACTGTGTTCGCTTTACCCTCTCCCACAGGGAAAGAACCAAGAAGACTTAGAACTTGATTTACTAAATGTTTTTGTATTAGTTTCTCCGTAGAGGACTTGTAGGGAAAGCAGGTCAGACTAGTGAACTCTGAGGACCCTTCACCCTGACTAGCAGGTCTTCAATCTGGGTGGAAGGCATTAGAAAAGGAAAACATGCTGGTACGAGAATGTTCATTGGCGGATCTAAAGGATTTCATGGAAATTGAGTAGACAATTGAATATACATTGTAGATGTGTGTCTTCCTGGTTTATAAACTTCTGCCCCACAACCCCTTTGATAACCTATCAGAATGCAGGAGCGCTGTGGGCCCACATGCACTCACAGGGCTCTGTTCCAATATCCATACTAGCGTACCACTTAGTCTTGCTAACACCAGCCTCTTGACGTCACAGCTCACTGTGTAGTCAGCCAGGCTACGTACAACTTAGAATGCATGCCCAATACATGCTTCATTCTAAGTATGCTAGTGTGGATATTGGAAAAAAGCTACAGAGTATGTGCTATTGATTGTCTGTGAACAGGAGGAAAGCCTTCCTTTTAAACAACCACCTCATTGAGTATCAGTGTATCTCATCAGAGATAAACGTGTGAGGTTACAGTTATGTCATGTGTAAAAGAAAAAAGGAAAATAAACACCTGTCATCAACAACCCAGACGAGTTTGAATCACATCATTCATTCTAGTGAGAATAACTAAACTAAAGAACACATAGTCTCAATCTAGAAGTAATTTGGAATAATTTCCTGTGTCTGATTGTTTTGGAGCCTATGTGGTCAATAAGAGCAGATGTAATGAGCAAAGTGGCGGAAACATCAAGTCATTATGCCCTCGTTTTAATGTAATTTCCTCGTTCGCTCTCTCACTTCAAATTCATTTGGGTTTTTAGTTGCCAAATGTTACTGTTAACCAAAACCCTTATACTTGTTGATCTATTGTTGTTATTTTTATGTGTACTTTCTAGAGGTCTTAACCCGTCTAGCTACATTCACTCATGTACTTATATGTTAGATTTCTCACTGTACCTTTTGCCAACTGTCCCAATTCTGGTGCAGCAATCCTAACTGGGGAAAATTTAAATTGAAAACCAACTGAACAATGTTGCCTAATTGAAAAGCCATTGTAGAAGAAACCATTTCTGGAGAAAATCTGTCTTTCAAGGATCTGTGTATTAACAGTTTGTTTTTGAGTATATTGAATCAGAATCCAGTTAAACAGGGAAGTCATTATTTAAAACATGTCTTCAGTTACTCCTAGCTCTGCTGATGCAGGTAACACCAGGACTGAACTTACAGTAGCCATGATGCACAGGTCATGAGATGCTTTTTACCCTGTGAAATAGTTGAGAAGATACAATATTTTCCTGTGATTCATTGTTCAGCCACTGTTCAAGACACTCTCATGCAATGGAACTATACTGCTCTTTAAACCCAGAGTTGATTAAATATAGCCAATTGAATATGTATTACAAAATGTTACAGTATATGACAGCATTCTTTCTTCCACTGTATCAAGAACCACAAACCTACATTATAATGTCACCTGCATCCTTGCTTTTCACTTCTTCAACTGACTTGTATCAGTCCTCAGAATTCATGAGCATTTTGAATGTTGATGTGCTAAAAGGTCTGTAATGTTCACAGCAAAACTAGAGATAGGAAAATTCCTTCAGACAAACAAAGTTTAATATTTGGACATTTGATATACTTGTCCTTATGTTGTGTGGACTATAGTTATTCTTTAGTATTTTGTCATTTACTTTTTATAGTATGCTATTGTATTTCATGGTTCCCATATTCTTGCCAATTAGCTCTCTCATGATGTGATTCTGTGAACATTTGCACATTGTACTTGACTTGCTTTGTTGAACCATAATTTCTACAGTTTCAACATTAAACTTATTATACTACTATATAATACATCAAGACAAAACAATGGCATTTTATTATTGAATATTTGAGCGAGAAAACAAGAATAATACACTGATGATTGCCAGTTTTGCAAAATCTTATAGTTTTTATATGTGATATAGATTTTAATGCACATATTGTAAATGCACCTTCACAAACAATGTACTCTAACAAGTTCAACAAAGCTCACTGGCCAAATTGCCCTCTAATTCATTGATTTGTTGTGCCAAAGTAGAAGTATTCATAATTTATTCATGTTGAAAAACTCTCAATAAAACTGTCTGTAACTCCCACATTAACTACAAGTGAATCTCAACTACTTTATACAGGGACCCTGAGCTCTACAATCCATTCGCTCCAGATCCAGATTTAGAAATATGCTTGTTTGCCAATAAATGCAATATGATAACACACTCCATATAATATAGCTTTTTTGTTTTGATAGCTGAAAAGAGAGGTTCAGCATTCAGCCATTTGTAAAATATATATATATTGCATGTAATTTGTTCTTTAATAAAATACTGCTGTGTTTTTGAACCATTTGTCAGACATTTACATATATGTTTCGAATAGTATTCTGGTTCACTTGGTCTTGTCAAAGTTATGACACAACATGCCAGGAGACCGGTGTACGGATATCAGAAAAATATTTGTATTCTATTTTTAACATTCTATCGCTTATTTATAGTCAAACGTGTATCTAATCATGGTTCAGGCATTTTCAATACTATTTGATGTGTAGGCCTACAGCATGCTTTGTTATATGACCTTAGGAGTCACATCTGACAAGGAGAGCATTGTGAAGGGTTTTGGCTCTCACAGTTTATATGCATGTGAGCATAACCCTTTGGTTATGGAAATGTTGAAGCCTGGAGTGTTTTGTTACACTACACGTGAAGGACATTCAATTTCAGTGTCTTCCAAGAGCTTTTGTGTCAATCAAAACCTCACACCGTTTAGTCAACCAATGGTCCCCCTTTGCCACATGTTATCTGACATTTCCACAGCTCTTTCAGGCTGCACACAGTACAAAGTGTCTGGCAGGATGTGCTCTTCAGAGAGCTTCCCTGGTAAAGGTCAGTTGAGCTGTAGCCAGGCGATGGACATCAGAGAGTCACACAGACGGAAGAAGACTATTGTCATCCAAAGCAGTGATAGTTTACAGTTTATCTGAATTGGCCAATGTGGGCAATTTGAAAAATAGAATAATTAACCATGGCTATGTTGATGTCCATGCTGCTATGCATATCAGTACTATGGTGTGGACATTATGAAGATAGTGAGAGATTTCTCCTCTCCACATACAGTTGATTGGATAAGGACTGGCAGATGGAAGGCTGAAACATCTCACAAGTCAAATCTTGTAAGACCCTTTCCAATAAAAAGAGGGGACATTAAAGACTGTGTGTGTGCGCACGCACACCTGCATGTATGTCTAAGTGTGTGCGTGTGTGTGTGCTTACTAGCATGTGGAGGGTGTTATCTCCTGTATGTAGGTCAATCAGGAACTCAATCACTTCCTCTTGTTGTCTCGTACCCTTGAATGAAACAGGCAGTGGAGCTGGAGTGGCCATGTTGTTGTTGGGTAAAACCCCCTATACTACCAATTAAGACATTATTTGGCTGGACAGTGGCATGTCTGGCAGAATTAATTTCACAACTTCTGCATATTCATAATTGCCTAAATATAGTGTGTGATGGTGGGAGAAAGGGACAGTAGGCAGAGAGGGCTGTAGAATAGATAGACACTAGGCTTGACTGCTGAGCGATGGTGAAATGCCAGAGCCGGACTGCTCACCGGCCCCAGGGCTAAGAAGAAACGGGACTCTTTCTCTAAGAGCAGAGACGGCATCAAAACGATTTGACCACACACACTTGATCAGTGTCCAAACCTTGATCCCTCTCAACTCAGGCTAAATTAAAATGCTGAAAAAGAAAGGAGAGCATTGCCCATCACTTGATGTTCATTTATGGTATACTGTTTGTGACATGATCATAGTCTGAAGTCCATTCCACAGCACCGTACTTGACAGTTTACTGACACTCCCAGATTTGTCATGGCCCACAACAACCCTATCATTTCATTCAGGACATTCAATGACAATGGCCTGCAATGAATGTCACAACTCATTCCTTCCAGATATAAGAAGTGAACTCATGGAGAAGTATCAAAGCCACTAAAGTAATACCTTATGATCTAAAATACAGTATATTCACTACTTCGGGTCCACGGCGTTGAAGAAAAAAACAGACAATCCAATGATTCTCAATTCCATTTGTATTTGGTCAAATGTACATAAATTCATGAGGTGGAAATAACTAATATCGCCAGGCACCCCTATTTGGAATAACCCCGCCTTACTTCCAATGTTTAAAGTCCTTGTTCCAAAATAGCATCATGAATTTTAAACATGTGTACTATGATGGATCTCTACTGTCATTCAATCAATTACAAGAAAGATTTGGATTATCCGAGGCCCATTTCTTTAAGTTCTTTCGTTTCATCTTATTCAATACATCTTATTCAATTGCTTCAACAGAATCTGGATGAACCTAAGGCATCTAGCATAGAAACAATACTGGAAGATGTTGCTACGCTAAAGAAGTTGATTGCCAAGCTATGTCAAGGGTTGATTGAAACTCTACCTGATGTTTCAGAACCTATAAGGAAAAGATTAGAAACCGATCTAAAGGAAGAAAGTTGAAGAGAACCATTGGTCACGGATATGTGAAAAGGCTCATACCTGTTCCTACAACTTAAGACATAAACTACTGCAATTTAAGATAATTCATAGTACTTACTACACTCC